GGACCGCCATCTCCTCCTCTCTAAAGTACCCCAGACCCAGGTGGGACATGAGGTTGGATGAATGGGTTAGGGCCAGACTCTGTAAGGCCTTGAATGCCAGGAAAGACCTCCTTCATGGGATTAACCGCATGACTCCCCGCAGAGCCCTTCGAGCAAGGCTTGGCACTCAGCAGCGCGCAGTGACCGCTCTTCTCAGAATTGTTCTTTGGATCGTTGCTATCAGGGTTTGCTTAAGAGACTCTCTGCCTCTGCCCCGCAGGAGTGGCTGGTTCCCCGAGGCCTATGTGAAACCTTTGGAGGAAGTGCCCATGAACCCGTTCAACCCCATGACCTCCATGAACCCCATGAACCCTATGAACGAGCTACCTTCCAGGTACCTGGGTGGGTAGGGGTGGGGCAGGGGTGAGGACTCCAGTGGGGTGTGTCCCCGCCCACCCGGAGAGGCATCTGTGAGGTGTGGTTTTGAATGGGCCTAGCTCCCTTCAGCCCCTGGAGAACCACACCGCACGCCTCCATTTCTCTCCACTGAAGGTCACTGTGTCCATCCCTCTGCCTCCTCTCAGGAGCTCCCTCAAGCCGACAGTTTCCTTTTACACAGGTGCAGGGGAGGCTGTAGGATGCCCAGGGGCCCAGCAGATAGGGTCAGTCCAGCTGGGCCTGCCCCCAACCCCATTCCCTCCCCTCCTTGGTCTGGACTCAGGTCCTACCCACTCCGGGGCAGCCACAGCCTTGATGACCTCCTGGACCGGCCAGGCAACTCCACAATGTCCTCGGAGTACTGGGACGGCCAGCCCCGCTCCCGTACCCCGAGTCGGGTCCCGAGCCGCGCCCCCAGCCCTGCACCTACACCCTTGTCTGGCAGCCGTCGAAGCAGCATGGGCAGTATGGGGGTGGCCAGTGATGTCAAGGTGAGCCCCTCCAGCCTGTCCTCAACCCTAGGGTCATCCAGTGGGCAGGGACACAGGAGACCAGGTCACCCTCCCTGCTCTGCCACTGGCTGCCTGGCAGGGGACCCTCCCAGGGGACTGCCCCTCTGTGCAGGGAGGGGTGGAATAGGCTTCTGAGTCTGGGGTGGAGGGTGGGGGAAGCATTCATCTCAGGGACTGCAGCTGAGGGTGTCCCTTAGGGGCACTGGCAATGGCCTCTGCTCCCCTTCCCCAGGGGAGGAAGACCAGGGGTCTGGGTCAGAGCATGGACTGGGACAGGCCGGGCAAGACAGTGTGGGGCAGGAGGGCACCTTCCCTCAAGGTCACCCCAGTCTATGCTGGGGGGTGGGGTAGTCCTAGGAGATGGGACTCTGGCCCAGAGGTTTTTCAAATCTGAAACCCACAGAATTCTGGGCTTCAGAATGCTGGGGTCTCATTTCCCAGAAGTTTGGCACAGCAGGGGTCCTCAGGTCTGTCCTCTGCCCTCCTGGGATGGGCAGAGTGATGGGAGGGGCAGGGGCTTGCTTGCCCTTCTCCCCACCAAACCCGCCCTTCCTCAACCCCCTGCAGAAACTTATGTCCTGGGAGCAGCATCCCCCAGAGCTCTTCCCACGGTGAGTCTCGCAGTGGAAGATGAGGTGGGTGGTGGTGACCTGATGGGGGCAGGAGGCAGGCACCTGACTCAGCTGCACAGCTGCCCTCCCGGGGCCCACAGCCAGTTGGGGCTCTGAGCCCTTCTCACTCCAGCCTCTTCCCTGGCAGGGGCACGAATCCCTTTGCCACTGTAAAGCTGCGTCCCACCGTCACCAACGACCGCTCAGCACCCCTCATCCGCTGAGGCCCCTTCCTCCACCAGGGGTCTGAGGTCGTACCCCCGTACGCCTGCCCAGGGGCTGTTCAGAGCCGGCGGTGGCAGCAGCAGCAGCAGGTCCAAGAGTTTGGGGCCCTGCTGGCAGGGTGGCTGCCCTTCCCCAGACCGCCCCGCAGCCTGAGCATCTCCAAGGGCACTGGTCTGGGGTCTGGGGCCTTCCAAGTAAAGCAGGCAGAACTGGGGGACAGAACCATTTCTTCCCTTCCAGGGCCCAGGACTCTCCCTGGGGGGGCCTACTTCTTGCCCCCCAACCTCTTTCCCCCTTCTCCACCCCAGTGGGGAGGAGCCCCTTGTACCACCCATCCTCCCCCACCCCATTTAACTTTTGTAAACGATAAGAAATAAAGGACGTGGACACAGAAGTAGGAACAGTGGTGTCTGATTTGAGGGACAGGGCAGTTTGTAAACGATAAGAAATAAAGGACGTGGACACAGAAGTAGGAACAGTGGTGTCTGATTTGGGGGACAGGGCCAGGGGTTGGGGATGCAGACCCCCACGCACACTGGAGAATGGAGCCCAGGGGGTCCTGAAGGTCATGGCTATTCCCTGGAAGGCCAGTCTCACTCCCAGCTCCTCACATCCCTCATTTCGAGCAACTCTTTAGGGCTGCCCCAAAGTCTTCAAGCTGCATTCCCCCCACCCCCATCTCATTTCTGCTTGTGGGTTCCCCAGGAAGTAGTGGCTGCTCCACAGTTGGGGGAGGGGTGGCTGTGGCCAGGTCCCGGACCACCAGCAAGTTACCCTCAGGCGGCCTGGGACACAGTACCCTTTGTTCTGCCCTCCACCCCCAGGTTCCCAGCCTCTCAGGCCTGGATTAGCCTTATCCAGGGGAAAGCCACCAAGCCCCTCCTGGAATGTGGCCTGGAGGTGGGGGCAGATGAGTTGAGGTGATTAGGGCTGATGGGGTCTCTCCAGGGCAGGGCTGTGCCCCCAGCACCAGACTAGGACCCCCTCCCCCCAGGCGCATTCTCTGTCCTCTGCCTGAGGCTCCAGGAGGTGGTGAGGGTCTCCTTATTCCTCCCTGGACTGGACATGGGACAGGGAGCCCCACCATGGAGGTCTAGCCTGGCACTGTGCTCCTGGTCACTCCCTGTCCCTTCTCCCCTCCTGGGCAAAAGCCTCTTAGTGGGGGTGGGGGTGGGGTGGGGTGGGGATAGAGTCGGGAGAAACACTCTAAGCCCCAGGCCTGGGGGGGGGAGCCATAAGGCCAGAGTCAGGCCAGCGGCTGATCCGATCCAGAGGCTGGGAGGCTGGTGGAAGCTGATCCAGGGGCTGGTGGGGAGTCTGCGAGCCCCCATCAGGGGAGCTGATGACTTGGCCCCTCCCTGCAGGCCTCAGGAGATGTGAGGCTGGACACCCAAACCCAGGAGACAGGCTCAGGTGAGTGTGGGGTGAAGGCTGCCAAGGACCACCCTCTTGTCCCCATCCTTAAGTCAAGTGGCTCCAGCCATGATGACAGGACAAGCAGGAAAAGTCAGAACCTGTTCCTGGTGGAGGAGGGACAGAATCCCAGATACCCCTGGGAGAGGGGGAGAGATCCCAGGCACTGAGGGACTGCGGGAGGGTAGAGGCTGTCCTAGGAGCCCTGGGTTCCTGTCCCGGCTCCAGGCTGTCCATCCTATCTCTTAGGCCCACCGTCCTCATCTGTTACGGGGGTGCATGGGGCTGCTGTGAGAATCCCAGGGTGGAGCTTCAGGAGTGAGACTTTCTAGCCATTGTCTGTGTATGGAGGGGTCAGGGGACTGCTAGGGGCTTGCAGAGCAGGTCTCTCTCCACAGTACCCCCTCAAAGGTCCCCACCTGTCCAGTGGGAGCCAGAGCCCCTCCCCCCACCCCCAAGATTTCCAGGTAGCCTCGGGGTGATCAGTCACCCATCTTACAGGTGAGGAAACAGGTTCAACGAGGGGAGGCGATCTGCCCAAGTCACAGAGCAAACCCAGGGCTGAGCTAGGATGAACAGAACTCAGCTCCCTGGCTTCTGAGGGGAAGAACATTAGCCCTGTCACAACATGGGTTTTTCCCTCCAATGTTCTAATGGCAATAGACATTTCTAATCATGGAGAAAAACTGGGAACACACTGCAAGGCCAGGGAGGAACACCAACTCCACTCACACAGGCCCATTTTGCAGCTGCATCTGTACCTCTGGGTGCTTGTTCCATTTGTCCCGAGAGCCTCACCTGTGCACGTCGGGGACACTGGCAATCCCCACGCACACCTCCCACCACACTGGTGGCCCACTCTCACACTCACATGCAACCTTTCTCCTGCCATCACTAGGTCCTGAGGGGCAAGAAGCGCCCTCCAGAAGGAGCCTTCCAGAAGTAAAGTCTCAGGTGGGAACAACCCTTATCCTTGCCCTCATTCCCTTACAGAGAGGGAGTCTTGGGGGAACTGGGTTTCCTCTAGTTCCATGACCTGAGCAGAGATTGTGGGAGCGGGTAATCCCCGTGCCTCAGTTTCCCCGTGCAGGTCTCCATCCCCCTCCTTTTCTGGGCTACCGACCCAGCCACTCCCTCTTGTCTCCTCTCCCAGCAGAGGCAGTGGTGATGGGCTCTGGCGGCCCCCATCGGGGCGTGGGCCCCCCAGATGGCGGCTGGGGCTGGGTCGTGCTGGGCGCCTGCTTCGTGGTCACCGGCTTCGCCTACGGCTTCCCCAAGGCCGTGAGCGTCTTCTTCCGGGCGCTGATGCGCGACTTCGGCGCTGGCTACAGCGATACGGCCTGGGTGTCCTCCATCATGTTGGCCATGCTCTACGGCACGGGTCAGCACCTCCGCCCGGCCCCTCCGCCTCCCCGGGGCCCAGGAGACACCCGGGCCCTCAGGGCAGGCAGGGAAAGCCCCTCCTTCCTGTGGAAATGCTGGCACGAGAAAGAGGTGGGGAGAGGACAGGAAGGGGACAGCAGCCAGAGGCAGAGCCCGGTCCAGGTGGCTACCGCGCAAGCTTGGTCCCCCCTTTCCCGCCAACAGACCCACAGCCCGCTATTTTACAGGTGGGGAAACTGAGATTTAAAGAAGCACTCCCCTCCCCGCAGCCCGAGCCACCTGTGGGGTTGGGAGACACGGGGGAGTTCTCACCCTGGCCAGCAGCACTGGCGGGGTGGAAGCCACCCCTTCTGTTTTGGGTTCCAGGTTCTCAAGAGGGGTGCGGCTGGGGGGGGGGGCGGCGGCTCTAGGCCAGGACAGGTCCCTGGTATCGCTACCCGCAGGGTGCTGTCTCCTTGGTTTGACCCAGCCGAGCTGTGTGACCTTGGTCAGACTCTGCCCTGCCTGGGGCCCCGAACCAGGGATAACCTTATCCCCTCGAGGGCTGGGAGGTGCAAAGCCCGGAGCGCGTCCACCGGAGAGGAGATTGGTCCAGCCCGGGTGGTGACCCTGCCCTGCCCACAGGCCCCGTGTCCAGCATCCTCGTGACCCGCTTTGGCTGTCGCCCAGTGCTGCTGGCCAGGGTGAGAACTCCCCCGTGTCTCCCAACACCACCGAGGGCTAGGGATGTGGGGAGGGGGGAGCTAAAATAAATCTCAG